TGGATGACTTTTGGTAGGGCCCCTAGGAGAGTCCCTGTGTTTGCCACCGCCTCTGGGAGGGTCCCTCGGATCGCTGCTGCTTTTGGGAGGGTCCCTTGGGGAGTTTCCGCCTCTGGGAGGGTCTTTGTGGACGCAGCGTCTCCTGGGAGGGTCCCTCGGGGTACCGCCACCCTTGGGAAGGTCCTTGGGGTTGCACTGTCCCTTGGAGGTTCCCTGAGACGTCATCGTCCCTGGGAGGGTCCCTGGGGGCACGGCGGATGCTTGGAGGAACCGTGGAGGTGCAACCCCTTCTAAGAGGGACCCTGGGGTCGTTGCCTCCCTTGAGTGGCCCCTGGAGGGGTCCCTGGAGGCGTCGCCGACCCTCAGTTGGCTTCTGCGAGGGTTCTTGAGGGCGCTGCAGACTTTGGGATTTTCCCTGAGGCTGCAGCAACCTCTTCTGGGAGTGTCCCTGCGGGCGACTGCACTCCTGAGTGGGCACTCATGGAGCCACCACTCCAGGGAAGGCCCCTGGGGAATGCCACACCACTAGGAGAGCCCGTGGGGGTGCCGCAATCGCTGGGAGTTCCCTTGAGGCGCTGCTGCCCCTGGGAGGGTGCTGGAGGCTCCGACACCTTTAGAAGGGTCCCTTGAGGTGTCGTCGTCCCTGGGAGAGTTCCTGGGTGCGCTACCGCTTCTAAGCACACAGCTGACGCAAGGAGGGCCCCTGGGTGCATTAGTTTTGCGTTATTTAGAACTCTGGGAAAGGCAACGTTAAATAAATACTCCAATTATTCATTAAATTTCCAGTCTCATTGCAATTTTAAGATGGTAACGGAGAGTAATATCCAACAGGAAATCATAAGTTGGGGTGTTGTGCTGACTGACTACTCTCTTCTGCTATTGGCTGTAATTTGGAGGGATAAAAAAATAGTCCACCAATCATAGCTCAGCAACGGACTGCTGGAAGTATGTAATATATATGACACAACGAACAAGCATGACATAGGGTCCCGGATGACCTTTGGTAGGGCCCCTAGGAGGGTCCCTGTGGTTGCCGCCGCCTCTGGGAGGGTCCCTCGGATCGCCGCCACTTTTGGGAGGGTCCCTTGTGCTGCTGCCGCCTCTGGGAGGGTCTTTGTGGACGCGGCGGCCCCTCGGAAGGTCCCTCGGTGTACCCCCATCTTTGGGAAAGTCCTTGGGTGACGCACCTTTCCCTGGAGGTTCCCTGAGGACATCATCACCCCTGGGAGGGTCCTGGGGGCACGGCGGATGCTAGGAGGGACCCTGGAGGTGCCACCACTTCTAAGAGGTTCCCTGGGGTCGTTGCCTCCCTTGAGTGGCCCCTCGGGGGGTCCCTGGAGGTGTCGCCGCCCTTGAGTTTGCTCCTGCAAGGGTCCTTGTGGGTGCAGTAGACCCTGGGATTTTCCCTGAGGGCGCAACCTCTTCTGGGAGTGTCCCTGGGGGCGACTGCGCCCCTGAGTGGGCACTCATGGAGCCACCAATCCAGGGAAGGCCCTGGGGAAAGCCACACCACTAGGAGAGCCCCTGGGAGCGCCACCACTGCTCGGAGGGCCCCTGGGGTTGCCGCCGACACTGGGAGTTCTCCTTGAGACCCGCCGCTGCCATTGGGAGTGTGCTGGAGGCTCCGCCACCTTTAGAATGGTCCCTTGAGGTGTCGTCGCCCCTGGGAGAGTTCCTGAGTGTGCTACCGCTTCTAGGCACACCGTTGACCCAAGGAGGGCCCCTGGGTGCATTAGTTTTGCGTTATTTAGAACTCTGGGAAGGCAAAGTTAAATAAATACACCACCTAATTTATTTAATTTCCAGTCTCATCGCAATTGTATGAAGGTAGCGGAGAGTAATATCCAACAGGAAATCATTAGTTGGGGTGTTGTGCTGACTGACTGCTCTCTTCTCCTATTGGCTGTAATTTAGTGGGTTAAAAAAATAGTCTACCAATCATAGCTCAGCAAGGGACTGATGGAAGTATGTAATATATAAGACACAACGAACAAGCATGACATAGGGTCCCAGAGGATTTTTGGTAGGGCCCCTAGGAGGGTCCCTGTTGTTTCCGCCGCCCGTGGGTGGGTCCCTTGGATCGCCGCTGCTTTTGGGAGGGTCTCTTGGGGAGCCGCCGCATCTGGGAGGGTCTTTGTGGACGCGGCGGCCCCTGGGAAGGTCCCACGGGGTACTGCCACACCTGGGAAGGTCTTTGGGGGTCGCACTGTTCCTTGGAGGTTTCCTGAGGACGTCAGCGCCCGTGGGAGGGTCTGTGGGGGCACGGCGGATGGTAGGGCGGCCTGTGGAGGTGCCACCGCTTCTAAGAGGGTCCCTGGGGTCGTCACCTCTCTTGAGTGGCCCCTGGGGGCGGTCCCTGGAGGCGTCGCCGCCCCTGAGTTGGCTTCTGCGAGGGTCCTTGTGGGCACTGCAGATCCTGGGATTTTCCCTGAGGCCGCAACCTCTTCTGGGAGTGTCCCTGGGGGCGACTGCGCCTCTGAGTGGGCACTCATGGAGCTACCACTCCAGGGAAAGCCCCTGGGGAATGCCACACCACTAGGAGAGCCCCTGGGAGCGCCACCACTGCTTGGAGGGCCCCTGGGTGTGCCGCCATCGCTGGGAGTTCCCCTTGAGGCGCTGCTGCCCCTGGGAGGGTGCTGGAGGCTCCGCCACCTTTAGAAGGGTCCCTTGAGGTGTCGTCGCCCCTGGGAGAGTTCCTGGGTGCATTTCTGGGCACACCGCTGACCCAAGGAGGGCCCCTGGGTGCATTAGTTTTGCGTTACTTAGATCTCTGGGAAAGGCAACGTTATATAAATACACCACCTATTTATTAAATTTCCAGTCCCATCGCATTTTTAAGAAGGTAACGGAGAGTAATATCCAACAGGAAATCATAAGTTGGGGTGTTGTGCTGACTGACTGCTCTCTTCTCCTACTGGCTGAAATTTGGTGGGTTAAAAGAATAGTCCACCAATCATAGCTCAGCAAGGGACAAGCATGCCATTGGGTCCTGTGGGACCCTTGGTGGGGCCCCTGGGAGGGTCTCTGGGTACACTGCATTTGGAAGAGTTACTTTCAGGATGTGAAGTACAATAGAGTGTTTGTGTTAGTTGTTTTGACTTCCTTGAAGAGATTTTCCGTAGTTTGGAGGCTCAGCTCGGTGGTACAGTAAAAATGGGGTCTTGGGAAAGATTAATAACAATTCTCTCAACCAGGAGCCTCCATAACTAGGGCAGTTACCATTTGTGATTGGTGCTGCTTTTTTCTGTTAATGTGGCAGTTATTCCCAGAGATTGAGCAGGTTCTATGACCCTCTTGGTTGGTTGAGGGATTCAGCCAATTAAAGAACAAGGGTGATGAATAGTTATACAGTACCTAGTGAGGTGGCTTCAGGTACTGGTAATTATTGATATTTTATTTTGATAAGGTCAGATTTAAAACATAATTTAAAAAATTTCAAAATTTTATTAATAAGTGTAAATTGTACAGTACAGTATACATTTACAGTACTACCGGTATCCTTTAAAAAGAAAACGTTTCTTAACTACAATTTCAAAAGTATCCCCATTGCAGGATCGGTACTGTACTCACTATAAATACTTGTACAGTAAAACTTACATAGGATTTCTTCAGGAGACACACTGCTTCACTCTGTTGAAGACATACTGGGTAGTTTAACATTCCAAATTTGAACTGAAAAGTAGTCAAAATATGCTCAAAACCTGGCTGACTTGTAGCCGACTCACCATCACTAGTCTTACTGTGTGTGGTCTGAGTACAGTAACCTTAATACAGTAATACTTTATTATTCATCATTTCTACCTTTTATATTAAGTTTTTAGTATTGAAAATAACACTTAAGCAAGATATCTAAGATGAGATTGTGAAAAAATTTAAAAGAACTTGTTTAAACTTTGTAAATTGTTCAGACATTCATTAAGAGTGCTTGTGTTGACAATTATAGTCGTGTTCTTACCTTTGGTTCACTAAGTTATTCTACTAGCAACAAGAAAAAGGCCACCTTGCATACAAATTAATACATGCACCCCTTCAGTGAAAAACATGAACCATCATTATCTATCACATTGCGGAATATTTAACACTTCCATTCAGATCTCTTATTACTCCTCTTTTCATTTTGGAACAGTTTATTTTATACAACAAAGATTTAACTGATCTTCAGTGGACAGTTTTACACACTGTCTAGATATAGTCACTGTTTATTAAGGTTCAAGCTCACAATACATATTCTGTACTTGTACAGTTGGTCCTCATATTACGCGGTTAATGTAACCCGGAGGGTACCGCGGAAAGTGAGAAACGCGTAAAGTGAATAACATAACATATGGGATTAATTGAAATGGAGTCCGGGCCGATCCCCAAACTCCACTTTTTGACGACACACAACTATGTTGTAGTAAAAATATTATCTTAACTTTATGATGGCATGCACACACAATTAATAATTAAGAGAAATATAAATAATATTAGGTTTTTTAACACTTACATTAGTAGAAAAGATGGCTGGGCACACGGGGATGGGCGGTTGGTTCCGAGGCAGAGGGCAGATTATTGGCCCTCACCTGTATCACTTGTATCAATTGTATCACTATCCACCACAGAGGCTTGCAGGGCCTCTTTGTCAAACCCCCCAAAGTTCATATAAGTCCATATCCTCACTATAATTATCACTATCACTGACTTGGGCCGGCTGTAGTGGGTGGCGGGTGAAGAACTGGTCATGTTTTGATGACTGGGCGACCTTGTGCGCACCATTTTCGCGCCTCTTACACAACATGGCGGATGGCGGGAGGTTTGGATCCAAAAATGGCGCGGCTTGCCAGCCGCTCTCCGCGTAATGGGGTTCATGACCGCGGAATGTGAAAATGTTAGGTTCTGGCAAGGCACCGCGTTAACGGTGAAACGCGGAATGCGGGACCGCGTAATATGAGGACCAACTGTATTTGACTTTAAATCTTATTACTATCTGCACATTCATGTACACTGAATAATAGAAGAAATATATTTAATTTTTTATTGATGAACAGTTTGACAATACATAATGATCTACTAAAACCATATAGAATAATATTTACATACTTGTAGTAGATAAAACATTTATCAGTACCAGGGGATTGAGCTCCTCTTAATATATTGTAAAAAATATATACATTTTCTTCTGAATTCGAGATAGAAACATGTAATACCCTACATCTAGTGTTACACATTAATACTATAAGGGTTTTTTTGGGACCCTTGGTTCAGTTTTTGTTGATGCTTCAGTTGAGTATTCTGCTGCTGCTGCTCATACCGCTGCAACAATACAGTCAGCTCAGCGGGCATGTTATCATTTCCACACTTACCAGTACTTCTTCTTGAAGCTGAAGCATTACTCACATTACTGCCTTGTGCCTGTGACATTTCTCTGTCACACTCTGCCTCAGAGAGTTCCCTTGAGTCGGAGAAAGCCGAAGGTGGATGAAGGGGCCTGGGAGGGGTCAGGGGAGAAGTCTCACTCGAGGAAGAGTCACTCCGCACTCTGAGACATCACACAAACTAAGTTGGTACAGTATCATGCAGAACATTTAGAAATCATAAAAATCTATTCTTTTTTTAATTAGTAATTTATATAAATATTAAAGCAATAGTAAAGTTAATTAGGATAAAGTACTGGAATGCAGTACCTGTATGTCTATTTTTGTAACACATATGAACTTGATATTAACTATTAGGGTTCTGTACACATGATAGGATTCAACTATCTATACTTTCTGGATTAATCCCCAAGGTACTCTATACAGATTGAAAACCCACAACCTCTGACATTAACAGCTGGGATTAATCCATTTATTAGCATGGTAATATCTCCCCACTACAATCACAGCCCTAAAGGTGGCATTAGAAGCAACAGACACTACATAAATTCATAGTACGAGTCTGACATTTCCCTAACATGTTGAACTTTGCTTTTCATCCTTATCAGTCATAATGCAATTCCAGGACTCCATCCACTCAGTTTCAGTCATTTTTTCGAGTTCCAGGCTAGGCAGACCTTCCCTAATTGTGATATCTTTCAGAAGTGTATCTTGCCTCTTTTCCTCCACATGAAATCCACATACAGTACAGTACAGTACAGTAGTCCAAAGTGTTAGTATAAAAAATCCAATTTTTTGTTTTTTTTCATTTTTTTACATTACAGAAGTGTTTATTTGATTATGACCCATTATTGAGTGAGTGAGTGTCATACCCATACTACGACTTGGAACTGGTAATCACTTTCACAGTCAAGTAACTCAGCCTGTTGTTAGTTAGTCTTTTATCAGGCAGGAGGGGTTTGATCTGTAATAGAACTAACAAGAGAAAGACAACACTACAATTTGAGTTATTCACTTTTTGGCATTTACTGTACATGGTAAAGAAACTCTCATCTAAATGAACTTTGTTATGAAAATATACTGTACAGTATATGTACAGTATTTAGTAAAATATATATTTTTCTAATGTTAGCTATCCTTATTTCTGGAGTAGATATTGTACATCAAATACTTTTGTCACAGTATATGTACCAAATGTTTTATATACTGTATACAATACTACTGCATGTTGCATAAATACGTATATTGAAGAAAAACTAAGAAAAGTCCTATCACTTAATGAAACTGAGGTAATTATATGGCACAGTTGAGTCAGTGAATGTAAAAAACTTTATGTCCTAATGCCAAGACATACAGCATTTTATGAAATATTTATGAGGATACATTCTTTTGCCTATCAGAGCCTCCCCAGTTAGAGAAATAAATATAAGTAAAATATTAATAAAAGACAATTTTTGTGATAAAGTCCAGAATGCAACGTCTAGCTTTATACCTAGGTATGTAAATGCCTAGCATTAACTCGCTAGGCCAACATACAGGCAATTACTCATCTGTGTTTTATGTGAATCCACTTATGGTCACCTTACAAGCTGTAAACATGCAGCAAAGACAGTCTATCAGTGGGTAAATAACTATTTCTAGAGCATGAAGGAAGGGTAAAGGGAATGGTGCGAGCTGTGCCAGCCACGGTCCACCTACATAGCTCAGCCTCCACTACCTGAGACTACCTGGCATGGCGGACAGGCGGCAGCGGATGGGGCCCTACACGCACTGTTGCTTGCTGTTGTGAGGCCAGCTGTTGTGTATGAAGCTGGTGATGTTGCTGTGGTGGCATTTGTGGCTGTTGGTAATGCTGCCGCTGTTGCACAGGTGATGAGGCATCGTTACTTTCAGTACTGGAGTCACGTCTTGTAGCTTCTGCTGTGAAACCAATTAATTTTCATTTGTATAAAGACCAGACTCGCAGTTTTAAGAAAAATATTTGTCAAGTGAAAAACAATACTGAATACAGTATGGTATACAGTATCCTTTGTAATTTACTCACCTCTTGAGCGACTTCTGGAGCGATGTGGGCGAGTGCGTGTATCCTTCACAGATTCTTCAGACCACATCCTCTGTTCTGTAGTCCCTACAGCAGGTATTGGTGTTGCTGAAGGAGGCTGTGCTCCAGGAATGGACTTTGGGCGGCTGCCATACTCTCCACGGTTTCGGTTCGTGATGTAGGCAATCTCTAGAGGAGAGTAGCAAACAGGAATATCACTTAATGTAAACTGTATTAATGCATGAATGAAGTACTGGATGTATTTCAGTTACACATCCAACATATCATTACAGCAGCCTTTGGTCTCAGTTATCCTGATATTATTATCAAACTATAATAGTAATATCTCAGTTAGCCAGAATCCCTGTTATCCAGAACTCTCCAATAGCTGAATTGAGATTCCAATTTTTTCCAGGTTTGTGAACAAATTCCAAGGTTAAAAATTCTGGAAAGTCTCTTCAAATCTTTTCTTGGTCTGGGAGCAAATCCAGGGATGAAATAATGTGCAATTTCCAGAAAAATTTGAGAAACTTTTTCCAAGTTATACAGGTACCTGGAAAAATTTCAGATTTGAGAGAGTCATCTCTTTATCCGAGAATCTCTCATTCTGAGAAGTGCTCTGCACCAATTGTTCCGGCTAAAGTGGATATCACAGTACCATTATCTCTTCAATATACAGTACTATACGTATTTCTATTTCATGATTTACAAACATGCTAGCTTTATAATATATTGTGCATCCCACTGCTTCCATCTACATCACCATTTTATAATGTGCCGCTGATTTAGAATACCGGGTAATCTGCAAATGTGTACTCCCAGGCTTTTCAAATTTACCCCAGTTGACTAGTAGTAAGCCATTGGTCACTCAGTCCTCTATGACAGCTTGTGTTCAAAACAAGAGATTTAAGAGTTATTTGTTTGTCCTAAAACATAGGAGTACAGTATATCAAGTCATGATGCTCAACAATACATTATCTTCACTGTGTAAATTACACTTTATTTGATACTGTTATAAACCAGTTCTTCAGTAACAACTCCCCACACTTCATTCTCCAATTTCCATGAGTTACTTTTTACTGTTTTCACTTTTATCCTCTTTGCCACTGATCGGCTCGTTAGCTGCTTGGGTGGTCGATTACGTCTGTTACATACTGTCGGGAAGTACTGGGCATGTACTGTCTCCTGAATGTATCTGAACCTGCTCCAGTGCTTGTCAAGTCTTGTTTTGATACAGATCACACTCGGTGCCATCACAACACTCTCCGGCAGGTTGTTCCAAGAGTTCACAACTCTCACTTTGAAAAAGTTTGCCCTCACAGTTTTCTGGATTTGTGGCTTCTTCAACCTCAAGCCATAAAATTTATTTGTTTGAATTCCTCATTTAGTTCGAATACTGTATGTGTTTTATAGGTTAAGAGTGAATATTTTTCACATTTCAAATCATTTTGCAAGTGATTACACATCCAATAACCTAATGACTGGGTGCGAGTGGTGTGGTGTGGTGTGAGGGAGCTGTCCTACCCAGTGTCATAGGTACCCACTCAGCATTGCTGTAGCTTCCTGAATGACTGGGTCCAGCTTGAGCTATTCTAGATGTTTATAGTAGAAATCTGGTTATTGTTAGATTAGAGTTATTCTGAGATTTCAGACTGTTCGAGTAATGCTACACAAAACTAGTTTGTTTTTAATGAACATCCCAGGATTTATTAGACATGTACATATTACTGTATATGTACCGGTAATTGCAATTTGATGGACAGACATGTTTATGAGAAAATGGTAAAGTAAAAGGCAATTTCTTACAAAAATTACTCATAGTATTTGTTATTACAGTACTTAGATACAATAAATAACCTTACCTGAATACTGTAGGCTTACATAGTGATACAACGTCTGTAATGATATCTTGCATGGACTGATGCACTGGTACCCGATTTTAAAATATACTGTATCCTCATAATTCAACCAGTGTTAATATTAAAACTCAGACTGTTGCACAATGTGCAGGAAAAACAGATCTGCTGTACAAGAAGGTGTTCAGGTGTGGCTTGCAGATAGAATGCTAAATCTAGAAATACCATGATCAACTCTGAGTCATGATAAAAAGTAGCCTTTGGTTGGTACTTTTGCATTCAGCATACAAAGTTAACTGGCACCCTCACTAACATCCAGCTATGCCATGATAGAAAAAAAATAAATGTCCCCCTTGAAACTGATGTGATGCAACAAAAACTTCCAATCCATGAAGTTTCTTTACTGTAACACTTAAACCAACATTTAAAATTGTCTGCAGCATTTTCTAATTGTCTCAAGAAGATTCTCTACAGTACAGAATGGTCTTGTTCTGTATGTATAAAATCAATACAAGTAATATGACTAGTCAACAATTATGCTCATAAATATATCCACAATGTTAAATACCTGTTTCTTTATAATGTGACTGAGATCGCTGCCTTCCAATCTGGCCATATGCAGGTGACTGCTGAGTGTGTCGATCACTGTGGACAGGGTGGTCGAGACAGTCGCGAGGGTTCATAGTGTGCAGGGACAGACCATACTCTAAAGTACCCTCCGAACTTCCCACGCTAAGTACAAGACCAAGGGAACTCAGAGGGAGAGATAGAAGAGGAGGTGAGGTGAATGAATTTTAATATTGCAAGATAATTAACAGAAAGTGAAACCAAGAGATGAGGTTGAAGAAAATCGAGAAACAGATCTGATATGCACAAGGTGAACAATTCTTTTATATCATTATGGCAGATACTGTATTACTCAATGTAAAATTAAGTAAATCAATTTATTATCATTCAAATATTTACATTTAAACAATAATGAAAAACTAAGAGGAGCCTTATGGGTCCAGAATTAAATAACTTGAGAGATTCAGCAACAAAGCATTTCATAAGTACCTGAAAGTGGCATAAGGGCAAATCTCATAAGGGTCTGACGTGTCATCCTGAGTTTTCAGAGAAGCTAATGAGCCTCGGGGCTTTTTGGTGGGCGTAGGAGAGTACAGGTGAGTGCGGGTGATCTCAGAGTTGCGAGCATTGTCTTCTTCTCCACCGCCCTTATTGTCCAGGCTCTCACCCTTTCTGCTGACCAGACAGAAAATAAATTTTCAATTGCTTGATGATCAGAGACAGAATATAAATTTACTCTCAACAAGACCATTGAAAATATGGCAAGCCTCTTGGTCTATATGTACAGTAGGATAATATGACCTCCTGTATGATGATGACTTGAAATATTTGTAAACCTTAATGTAGTGCTGCTGCTCATGTATACAGTACTGGAATTCATCTTTAGATAAATAATAAAAGTGTTCATTAGTAGGTTGTAATCATGTAATATCAGTTATTATCCAAGATGTGTTTGTGAAATCACAAATGTCAATGAAGAAATCAATGTTAACAGAGAAAACTGTGAGAATATACAAGAAAGAACTTGAAGAATATGAAAATGGCACTGATATACTGTACTGTACTCAGGGAACATGACAGTGACAGTCATTTTGAGTCAGCAAAAATTTAATAGGCTTTTCACAATGGCAGTTGATCACAGTTCCCAATTTTACTATGAATAATTTTGTTATGCTAAGATAAGGTACAAATCCAAAACAATTTCATGATAATTAAAACTTTGCACCACCTTTAATGGAAACTCACCTGTAGCCACCATACCTTCGTCTCCTGACAGCTACGCAGACACAAATGATGAGAGCTGCAGCCAGTAGCAGAGCACTCACCACCCCTGCCACCACATGAGCATCTAACCAGCCAGTTGCTACTTCTGGGCTGCCCACCAGCACCTCCTGTACTGGCTCAGCTGTAATGGATCCTGCCACAACAAATTGTGAATTAAGTATCTCTGACTGTTAGTTGAGGAGAGTTTTAGGGAGACAGTAGACATAGAAAATTAACACTACAATACCTCATCAAGGACCAAATATGCCTTGGAAATTAAACTAAAAATATAAGAGAGAGATATCCTTCATGTACACCCACTAAAAAATTATTCGGCACCCGTGTCATATTGTATCATGCCGTAAGGGTGCCGAATAATTTTTTAATGGGTGTAAATTACTGATTAAAGTGAGATTTATTCACTTTACCGAGACATGGTGAATAATGAAAACCACAATCCCATTTTGAAGCTTGAAAATTTGCCTTATGCTTAAATTTTAGTTTCTAATTCTTTAACATAAATTTCAGACTCGGATTACGACTGACCTATGAGAAGTGTGGACAGAAATAAATGGAACCCCCACTCCTCATCAGCCCATGAAGCTCACTTCCCTGAGGCAAGAGTGAAGAAGAAAGTAATTTTCATGGAGGCTTCCTCAGGTCCTCCATTGAAAAATTTCCTGTTGAGCCTAAGAATGCATGACTGGTTTTACTTTTACTTTTTTACTTTTTATCCTTCGCCACTGATCGGCTTGTTAGCCGCTTGGGCGATCGGTCACGACTCTTTTCCTTTATATTCTTCACCAAAAGGTCGGCTCGCTAGCCGCCCGGGCGATCGGTCACGTCTCTGTCACGCACTGTTGGCAAATACTGGGCAACCGGCTCCTGAATGTACCTGAACCCGCTCCAGTGTTGGTCAAGTCTTCTCTTGAAAGAGCTCACACTCGGTGCCGTCACAACACTTTCTGGTAGATTGTTCCAAGAGTTTACAACCCTCACTCCGAAAAAGTTTGCCCTCACGGTTTTCCGGACTTGCGGCTTCTTCAATCTTGAGCTGTGACCCCTTGTGGGGCGAGCGTCCGCCAGCTCCAAGTAAGGACACTCAACTGAGTAGTGCCCCCTGAGATGCCTATAAACCTCAACTAGGTCCCCCCTTGCCCGTCTGTAGTATAAGCTAGGCAAGTTCAGGCGCTCCAATCTCGCAGGGTAGCTGAGATGCCGAAGTGCAGGCACCAGCTTGGTGGCCCTCCTTTGAACATTTTCAACCAACTGACAGTCCCTAGCATATCTCGGGGACCAGATGGGGTGACAGTACTCCAGATGGGGAAGCACTTCACTCCTGAAGATCGTCACGAGGGACGGACCGTCTAGATATCTGAACGACCTTCTTATAAGACCCAATAATTTATTTGCCTGATTTACCTTCTTCTCACAATGGCCCGAGAACTTCAGCTCATTGTCAACATACACACCTAGGTCCTTCTCACACACAGTCTCAACTAGTACATTTTCTTCATCCCGTGGGGACATATGGTACGCCTCACTTAAGACGCCCCAGGTGCATCCTCTACACTGCGTGACATTGAATCTCAGCAGCCATTCCTTCGACCATTCCTGGAGCCCACAGAGGTCCTTCTGCAGCTCTTCACAGTCCGCTTGGTTCTTAATTTCCCGAAATAACTTGTAGTGACCACGTTAGTTTTATATTTTTCTAAGGTTTCTTCAATAAAGACAAATCTGAGAAAAATAATAAATAAATACCCTTGAAGGAAGCTAATTAGTCACTGACAAATGTTGCTCTGGAGAGGTCCTGTGAGAGTGAACTTTTAAGATGCTAACGTGTTAGATTACAAACATGAACATGTGAGTTACATATAGGGGGCCCTAAGACTACTCTTGCTGAAATTGGATCAGGATTAACCCTTCCAATGTATTCTTGGATATGCTTACAAGCTGATTCACAGTGTTGATTGGTGGCCTCACAAAGGAAACCCACCAAAAAGCACACAACTGTGGTAGTGTACACCACTAGGGACAATCTCCCATAAAAGTGAACAATGGAATTCCACAAAACTCCATTGATAGATATTTAACAGCCAACCCCTATACTCTAGGATGCTTCCAGCCAGAAAGGTAAATAAAAAACATCATGACAATTAACTAACATAAACCATAGTCCCTTATTCTGATTCCCTTTCCACCAGGTCACTTAGTCACTTGTCCTGACCTTGTAAAAGCAAAGACTGGCTTTCCGAAGAGACAAAATTATTATAATCAATGGATCTTCAGCCAGCTGAGTTGCATCATCATGTGATAAGGCAGTAAGCATTAAGAAATTCATATACGTACTGTAATTCCCCATTTATTCAAAACCTATAAAATAGAACAAAAGGAGATTTTTTCCAGGATGAGGTATTTATTATAAATGCAGAATAGTTGTTTTGATTACACTACTGACCTCCACTATGGTCCTTGGTAGCCACACGGTACACAATAGATGTGTCCCCTGCAGTAGAGGCAGCAGTGATTCGGAGGAGGTGCCAGGAGGCTGACGTGAGGTCACATAATCCTAGATCTGTGGTGTCCCGAGTCACATGTGCATACAATGGTGCCCAGGACACCTCAGCTTCCTCACTGCCAAGTTCCACCTGCCAAGCAAAGCAATAAAAAAAAACAATGAAATTTTAGTTTAACAGGTAAAGGTGCTGCAAATAAAACATTTTGTACCAAATTGTTTCATTTGATGCATATGTGTGTGTGTGTAAAATTAGTCATTACAATGGGCTAACATTCAACATTCATTTAGTAGTGTTATTTTACAATTACCTGTAATTAAGGCATATGTAGATCAATTATGTGGTCAATTTACAGTTTAAGCCACAACTACTGTTTGACCACAAATTTTAGTTTTTCTCATGGTATTTGGTGTGATTAATTTGAATTTGAACTTCATTTCCATTGGAAATAAGTCGTTTTGGACTTATCACCCCCCATACAACCTGACCCAACAAACCAAAGAAACCTACCTAACTATACCTAATTTCTTAGCCATCCCAGCCATATTAAACAGAAAGTACTTATTTTGATATTTGGTACCAATGAAAGCATCTTTGTTGAAGCATCATGGTGTAATTTTACGTTTTTTGTGGATGTGGGAGAATGCTCAGACTGAGTGGGTCAGTTGTAAACAAACAGATGATACGCGATGACTGCGATGACTGCAGATTTACGTTATTTTCTTAATTGAATTAACTTTCGGTTAATTTCCATTTGCGACGGAAATGGTATTACAAAATGTTGTTCCTATTGACAAGATATAACTAACAGTAAACACAAAATTGCTCTAACCGAGTTGTGGCTGTAACTGTAATAATACTAGTTATGTATGTTGTCTAGCTAATGAAATGTGCAGGTGCAGGTGCATGATGAAGGGGAACCTAACGTAACTTAACCAAACCTAACTTAACCTAATCTAACCTAACCTAGGCAAACCTAAACTAATCTAACCTAACCTAATTAAACCTAATCTAATCTAACCTACCTAGCTAACATATCCTAATCTAATCTAAACAAACCAATATATTGTACTCGGGTTCCCAATAATCCTGAAATCCATTTATTCTTATAAATTTCTTGCTAATAATCTGTAATGTAGAATTCATTGAGCAAAAATCTACAAAAGTTCCATTATCTAAACGTTTATTGATTAACCTTTTTATAGCAAAGATTAATTTATTTAATATAACTCTGTCCTGAATTAACTACATGATTATTATTCAATACATAGTTACTATTACTAATACAACTACTGCTACTAATACCAATTACATTATTATTATTTATTATTATTATCCAAACTTGAAATTTTATCTTTACAGTCAATAATTCATACAATTCTAAAACACTTTTCTTCTATGACGTTTCTCTCGCAACTGAACTATATTATTATTACTACTATCATTGTTATTATTAGCCATTTAATTAAAGTAATACTTCTTTGGCCTCTTTAATACTACGGACAAACCTTTAAACTCATTCAAAGTTTATTTACACCAGTTTTCTTTGTTGCCATAAGAGAAAATGAAACTCTTGTATGGAGGAACTTATTTACTTTTTTATTATAGTTGTGACGAGTGAGGCAGAGATTAAATAAAAACATATTTAAAACTAGAAAAGTATTGAGGTTGTAAAGGAAATATAGAGAACATATATACATTGTAGGGTTGGGTGTATGGCATTACAGAGAAATTAAAGTAGCATAGAGAAAAACCTTGGAGAAATTAAACCAGTAAAGGAACAGGATATGAGAAGAAAGGTAACAAGTGATTTTGAAGATACTGAAAACGGTATAATAAAACTATAAATAAATAAGGAGAGGAGACAGGAATACAACAAACAGAATAAAAGGCAAAATTAGAATAATAGTTATAAAAGCAGAAGAGACAGTACCTGGGAGGAAAATTTTCAAGATTAATGGAATCAAATGATGGAGTAGAGGAAAATATTTCAAGATGCAGAATGGAGAGGCATAGAAAGAAGATAATAACAGGAAGTTTGGAAGTAAAGATGAAAAGCTTTTATCAATAAAATATGCTGTCTCGTGTAGAAAAACTTGTCATGCCTTGATTTAAAATGTGGAAACTTGCTTATGTCTGCATCTTGTTGAAATAATCTTTTATTTTCTGTGGTTCACATAATGATTAGTAATTTGTTCCACATACACCTGAATACTTCTACTGTGGTTAATACATTTAATTCAATATTTCTCCATAAAACTTATTTACAACATAATAAATTCGAATTCTAAGAAATTTCTAGATACAGTTGGATGCAGACTATTATGTTTGATATTGTTTGAATTCAATGCACTGCCTATCAATATAATATTACCTTCCAGTGTGTGACAGGGCAGCCTAACTCAGGCCAGACATAGAGACGAAGAGTAACACACGTTGAGTTTACCTCAACTAATCTTGCTGGATCAGGCCGACCTGGAGCTGCAAAGTAACAAGAGAGTGAAGTGTTTTTCATCAGGTAGTTATGCATATGACCTGTGATGTTAACTCATATGACAAAGCCATTTTATTATGGTTCCTGAGCGCAATGGTGGTACAGAGTACTGAGTATTAAGAGAATACAACATCTATCTTTTTGGTCAAGCCAGCTCAACAATGTGTATGTGGTGTGAACTAAATTATAATGCAGTAAACCCTACTTAATATGCAATTTCTTATGACACAATATTTGAGTTTTTCAATTGTAGGTCAAGTGTTCTGGTATTACCATGTACATTCACGGTCAAAAGTAATCATGCACTCCTACCGGTAAGTTCCCAGACATGACGCTACTTATTGGTAAGGTTTAGCTGAGGGAAAGAAAACAACAGTTCATTACTCATAAGAATGAACAGCGGATTGTACTCACGGCTGCCGAGGGTGTTGGTGACAAGGACGGGGCTTGGGGTGCTGGTGCCATGGGTGTTCCAGGCTGTGAGGTAGAGGTGGTGAGGGGCGCCACAAGGCAACCATCGTACCATCACACTTTTCACGCCAGGGTCTGCTCCCGTCTCTACCCACTCACCAGCCCGTTGGCGATGGTGCACCGTATATCCTGTGTAAGGTCAAGGTTTTAGTGAAGTATAGTAAGTTAAAGAAGGAGGTGTGTGTTTTTGGGGGGAGGTTTTCCCATTCCCCTGTGTTCCTGATGATACAGTATTGTTCTTGCTTTCGTGGCTTTGAAAGTAAAGCTACAGGTATTCCCACCTGAAGTATAGTAATTCTGAACCGTGCATGAACAGGGGTATAACATCGACTTTTTTAAGAGGCAAGGGGTTGTAAATTTTCAAGCTGGAAGGGACAACAAATTACATATTATAAAACTGAAAATCAACAATTTATTTTTATTTCCCCTACACCTGGGACTGTGAAGGTGGCCATGTCTAGTGTAAGCCTATGGAGCCCACTTTAACTTTTATAATGGGGTAAAGCGTGGAATTTCCCCCATTATCACCTGAATCGTGAATCAAAATCTAATATATAATTTTCAACAACAGAACAATGCTCTCCCAGGCCTATGGTCTTATCTATGAGTGGCTGGCTGATCTGTTTCACAACCACAATTGCCAGTTTCTCTCTTCTTCTAAATGTGACCAGTCAACCATTATCAGAGAGCTCCATCAAGTTATATAGATCAATTTGTGTTGATAAGTCTATTTAATTTGGGTAATCTAGACTAAAACTGACAGCAGAGCTAATGAATACCAGACCAGGTGTTAAGCAATTTGATAAATTTATACAGTGATATCCCCATTAGCTGGAACAATTGGTGCAGAGCACTTCCTGGAATGAGAGATTTCTGGATATGAGACGACTCTCTCTCTAACCCGAAAAATCTCCCCCATCCCTGGAATTTTCCTGGTATCGGGAAATTTTTCTAAGAATTTTCTGGAAAATCTGCCCCTCGGAAAATCGTTCCCAGAGTTGTAATTTTCCGGAAAATTACGGCTTTAGGAACGATTTTCTGAGAAAATTTCAATTCCGGCTATCGGAGAGTTCTGGGTTTAAGGGTTTCCGGCTAACGGAGATATTACTGTATTTGGCCTTAGTGGAGTATCAAGTTTTATTGGCAAGCTGCCATGAACAGAAAAATATTAGACCCTTTCACTGTGGTTGGCAGTGAATGGATATTATTTTTTACTAGGGAGCCAAATTTTATGGATTTACTTCTGAACTGTTTCTTAACGTGTGACTCCAGGAACTTCCCCTGCCATAGTTTGCATAATTTTTTATGATGCAGAACTTTGAATTTACTGTTTTGATCTATGATACTTTTCATAAATTGTTCTTTGATAAAGAAAAAAAAATGAGCTTGAGCTCCCTGCCCCGAGCCCACAAGCATGGGCAGGTAGAGGGTGACCTTAATGTAAATAAAAGGTATGAGGCAGATGTGACAGATGCTCTCCTGATTTCAGAGAACAATAAGATAAATAATGAACAAGAACAAATATTACTTCTGCAGATGAAAAGCTTCATTCACACAATAACTTATACAGTATACTGTATAATAAATATATTGTACAGTAAATCAGTCATTATTGTGATGCAATTCTGAGGCTGCTGCAGTACGTATTAATAAAAATAAAAAGTTACTGTTCTATAAATTTAATCTGTACTGACCAAGGATGGGAGCCCCTCCATCACCAGCTGAGGTAATGGTGAGGTTAAGGGCATAGTGGGTGGGATGGGCGAGGTTGAGGGTGGGCGGCGGAGGTGTGGTGACTGCCACCACCTGGTGCGTGAGACTGTCCCCCCCTACACTGTTGCGGACCCAACAGGTGTAGTTGGTGGTTTCCCGCACAGCTGTCAGTCGTGAGAAAAAGAACACACCTCAATAAAAAACAATTCCCTATACAGTAATAGTATTACAGTACATGTACTGTAATAACTGTCGATGTATTGTCATGTTATGCTGTGTACAGCTGAATACTCCACTTGTGATTATGCTTGATCAAATACTGTACTATACTAATATTTACTTTTATTCTAATAATTAATTTTTTCACTCTAATATGAGTAATGATAACAATCAATTCTGCCACGACAGGTCACTATTGTACATTTACAGTACTGTATATGACAGTGTACCAAAGTGAGAATTAAAACAAAATCAGAAATGATAAAAAAAAATATATAAAAATGGGAATTAGGGACTTTTTATTGCAAAACTGTATCTATCAATACTGAATAGTGACTACAATGCTTTTAATATATTGTATATCCACATTCTTTTTTTCTCACATAAGTTAGTATAAAATGGTTTTCCTGCATTCTCATTACAGTAACTGGAAGTTTTATTTATAAGTGTGAAATTGGTGACATACTGTAGTCAACCCTCACTTTACGCGGTTAATGTAACCCACAGGGTGCCGCGGAAAGTGAGGAACGCGTAAAGTGAATAACATAACATATGGGATTAATTGAAATAGAGACTGGCCCGACCCCCAAACTCCACTTTTTGACGACACACAACTATGTTGTAGTAAAAATATTATCTTAACTTTATGATGGTATGCACACACAATTAATAATTAAGAGAAATATCAATAATATTAGGTTTTTTAACACTTACATTAGTAAAAAAGATGGCTGGGCACACGGGGATGGGCGGTTGGTTCCGAGGCAGAGGGCAGATTATTGGCCCTCACCTGTATCACTTGTATCAATTGTATCACTATCCACCACAGAGGCTTGCAGGGCCTCTTTGTCAACCCCCCCAAAGTTCATATAAGTCCATATCCTCACTATAATGATCACTATCACTGACTTGGGCCAGCTGTAGTGGGTGGCGGGTGAAGAACTGGTAATGTTTTGATGACTGGGCGACCTTGTGTGCACCATGTTCGCGCCGCTTACACAACATGGCGGATGGCGGGGGGTTTGGATCCAAAAATGGCACAGCTCGCCAGCCGCTCTCCGCGTAATGGGGTACATGCACCGCGGAATGTGAGCACGTTAGGTTCCGGCAGGGCACCGCTTAAACGTGGAAACGCGGAATGTGGGACCGTGTAAAGTGAGGGTTGACTGTATTTCATATGAGTGCAAAATTCAGTTTTGCTCTGCTGTTGCATTTGGTATAGCACTTACCTGTCAAGTGTAGGTCTCCCCCAGGAAGTAGCTGAGTGAACTGACTACTGGTGATGGTGGAGCTTCCTTTTGTCCAGGAAATAGTGGGTGGTGGTGACCCCAGGCCCCTGCATCCCAGTGTCACACCTGAGCCTGCACCCACTCGCCACGACCGTCCACCACCCACAGCAATTGGGGTGTGCGTAGGTGTGGGGGTGGGCAGAGCAGTGAGTCTTGGGGACTGGCTGCCCTCACCTGCCACTGTGGTAGCTGTCACCCACACCTGCCAATTTAGCTCTGCTCAGTAATGTGAGGAGTCAGAGTGGACTGAGATCAGCATAAGCAATCTTTCTACAGTAATGTGTTTACCTGTACAGCACTGAGTTATGTGGCCAATATTTACCTTAAAGACAGTAAAACCTACATCAAGCAAACGTAAACTAGAAAGGTCAGGCTTAATTTCTGCACTGATTAAAGCAAATTAGGGTAACTGAGGTTTCCAAGAATATGAAGCAGTTATTTACTACCTACTCCAGTTATAGACATCAGAGATCAAATTTATACAGTATAGGCACTCCTGAACATGCTGATTAAGGATCTGTTGACCAAAATTTGATATCTGGATTATTACTTATTCAAATGACTTGCAAAAGTACGTAATTTCAATTTTCGAAAAGCCATTTGAACAAGTAATAATCCAGATATCAAATTTTGGTCAACAGACCATTAATCAGCATGTTCAGAAGTACCAATACTGAGATTTTTAACAAAATCTATATTTTGACCAAAAATTCTGTAAGGCATTAGACTTACAATTTTTGTCATTTTCGGCCAAAAAAATAGATTTTGTTCAAAATCTCAGCATAGGCACTCCTGAACATGCTGATTAAGGCTCTGTTAACCAAAATTTGATATCTGCATTATTACTTATTCAAATGACTTGCAAAAGTACGTAATTTCAATTTTCGAAAAGCCATTTGAACAAGTAATAATCCAGATATCAAATTTTGGTCAACAGACCATTAATCAGCATGTTCAGAAGTACCAAACCTGAGATTTTTAACAAAATCTATATTTTGACCAAAAATTCTGTAAGGCATTAGACTTACATTTTTTGTCATTTTCGGCCAAAAAAATAGAATTTGTTCAAAATCTCAGTATAGGCACTCCTGAACATGCTGATTAAGGCTCTGTTAACCAAAATTTGATATCTGCATTATTACTTATTCAAATGACTTGCAAAAGTACGTAATTTCAATTTTCGAAAAGCCATTTGAACAAGTAATAATCCAGATATCAAATTTTGGTCAACAGACCATTAATCAGCATGTTCAGAAGTACTGAGATTTTTAACAAAATCTATATTTTGACCAAAAATTCCACTTATCTTAGTGTTCAAAATCTCTATATCAAGCATAAACATTCTGTACAATATGTAATCATCTTATCTTAGTTAAAAGCAATGTCTTTCATCTCACTGCTGAGTATTTGCAGTCAGGTTTATGTAGTATTCTGTCTCCCAATTTAACATCCCTTTCACACTCTTGAGATAAAAAATCTCACTGCAGTCTTCAACTTAACTTATGGGTAGTTTGTTGTCAAGGCTCATCTTATAGGCACTGAACCCCCCCCTTCCCCCAGTACTAAACTAAATGACAGAGAAAAGTTCATAGTAACTTTTAAAAGAGAATTCTACATACTGTACAGGCCTGAACACTTTCTGATACAGGAGTAATGGAAATTAACCATTCAGGTCAGAAGGCATCCTGTCACACTGCCCAGACCACACTACAACTCCACTCTATTGAAATATAATGAATCAAAATTTCTTAAATAAGTATGCAGAGGTTAGCAAATGGCTTCTCTATTGTCAAACTTTAATTATAATATCGAGAACCGCATAGTTTCAACCAATTAAGCCAAAACAGGCCAGCAATTATCTTCCTAAACATGCATTAATAAAGAAGTGATAGTGTGATCCCAGTTGCAGCTGAGCAACTGATCTACAACTGAATGGATCATGTACTGTATTCTCATGTAACATCTGTCCCATCAGCTCTCAAAGCTGCAGTTCCTTAATGGAGTGACTAAGTGCAGGAAAGAAAGCAATTTTCTGATTAGTTTTTGGATTTACCCCAGAGGTTGGTTGCCCAAAATTTATTATACAGTATCGTCATCAGCATTTACAACTACAGGTATTTCCTTCACTTTTTCCTATAAATCTGTCGTAAAGAAATATGATGCACATTGACCAATAAAGATGACAATTTTATGTATTACTTAAAGATTGGTATTAATAAATGATGAGCAAATCTGACCTGGACTCGAGAAGCTGGTGTGAGGTTACTCAGCTCCCTCCAGGTGGCCTCTGACCCGCCTGCTCCCACCACATCCCGCACTGCCACCTGCAACACCACCTGGGTAACTACATAGTCCAACACATTAGTTGTGTCACTTTCCATGCTCACCACACACACTACCTGTGTCACTTCAACACTCATCACATATCACCTGTGTTAATTTAGTGCTCTCTAATCATCAGTATCTCTACCTGGTCGTCTCTGGCAGAGTAGAGGGTGTAGTGGAGGATGGTTCCTGTGTGTGGGTGTGGTGGCGACCATGTCACCAGGAGGCTGGTGGCTCCCGACACTACCACCCGCACTCGCCTAGGAGGTCCTGGCACTGAAGGATAAGTTGTGAAATTCAGGATGTTGTTGAAGGAGAGGCTTTCACTTTATACTCCAGACACTATAGTACAAGGATTTGAAGTGGCAGTTTGTTCTATCTTAATTTTACATTTTCAAAATCCAGGAAAATTTGTAAAAAAAAAATTAATATTAAACCATAAAGAGTAGACTTTAGTCCACCTTTAAAATATTGAAAACACATACTGCACCAGGCATTTACCATCATCTTCTGTGACACAGAAAACAGGATCATTGGAAGGACTGTGGCCAACCTCATTGTAGGCCTTGACCCTCACACTCATGTTGGTGGCTGGTGGTAGGCCATCCAGGTTCTTCTCCAAGTTGGTTGTGTTCACCTCCCATGTGGTACCTGAGGGAGGTATTCAATAAGTTTATGTGGCAATAAAAAGGCAGAGATTGGTTGTACAGCTGCAGGATTTTCAATTCTGGTGAGGTGATGAAGCATTTTACAAGGTAGAGGTGACCTTACAGTACTTGTGTTTTGAACTGAAGAGTTGAAAGGTTAGAGAAACCACAACTATAATATATAGTGTACAGCTGTTACTTGAAAATATTCTATATCACTCATTCTGTATACAGTACTTATTTGACTATAAAGGATAATACTGTAGTCTGTACATAAGTTTCTTTGAAAGACACTGTCTGAACATTTTTTCAACAGAAAGTACAGTATGAACTTCAAATAGTAGCTATCAGTACTATACTAACTCCTATAACATGACCATATTGTACAGTACTATACTTGTGAGCAGTAACTACCATACTGTACTCCTCTTGAACAGTGTAAGGCAGCAGCAAACTTTAATTTTCACAGCTCTTTAAGATGATCCTGACTGGTGAAAAAAATACTTCTCATAGTATGTAGTGCTGCTCAGTCACACAATATTACCACATCTGGTCATCATAATGTGTACAGATTGTTAAGTCATTTAATACTCCCACATCCACTTACAGCAAGATGTGGGATCATTCTATGACAGGTAGGATAATTAAACATTTACTATAAGACAAGAGTAATTAACTTTCAATATACATATACTCTGTAAAAGTAGTTTGTTAATAGGAGGGGCATCAAGCCATAAGACTTGCTTCATATTTGCCTGATAGCAGGTCATCAGGTAATTATGATACCTGTCGATTAATTACACCGTTCTGTAATTTCAATTCGCAATTCCATTTTCCATGATTATTTCTGCATTATATTTATACAGGTATAAAATGATCTTACCACAAAAGGGCTCAACCTACTGCTGGATTTGGTTCTTAAGTTCTTATATATATGTATAATATTTGGGTCGATTATGCTAAAAAATGATAAGGGAGCCTCACTGCTTATCAAACATTTATGACAACTAAATGAAATATTAAAGGTGAACCTTGTCATAGATGATCCAGCTAACGGGGATAAACCTGCAACAAAATACACACACAACTTCTCAAGAGAATTTATAATAAATTCAATTTCATTATTGTACATTATTAAGATGAAAGGATACAGAGGACAGTCAGACAAATAGGGTGATGGGTATACAAGAGCCAGGTAGTGAACCCTTGTGAAATTAAAACTAGATAGAAAATGAAATGCAAATTATAGTCATGGATTTATTGTCAGTCTGCCAAACACTATGCGAGACTTACTGCCCCTAGTGTGTTCGTCCCGCCTGGTGGGGGTGGCCACAATGGTGTATCCACTAACAGGAGCGTGGGCACAGTGTGTAGGTGGGGGAGACCACCATACCCGCACCCCACCACGTCCTGACCCACGACAAGATACTCCCGCAGGTGGACACGAGGGTGCTGGGGATAATTGAGCTGTAAGTCTGCTGTCTTAACACTTGTAATACTGTATATCATATAAACTTGTCTCCAAGCAACTGTTAAATAAGTTAATATAAAACTGAAAATAATACTCCTGTAAGAATATTCATTCAATTTTTTTACTCACGTGAACAACATACATATGCCAAAATACACATTGTAAAAAAAAGAGTACTACCTGTATAGAATATATTTAAAGTAAATCCTTTTATAATGACATTGTTATAGTCTCCTGCAATGTATAAATATTACTTCATTTATAATAAAAGAAGAGCTCTTTGTTTTGAAGTACAGTACTGTAGTTGTTCTGAACTCACAAGTAGCAAGAACACAAATTATTAACTCAAAATGACCAACTTTGTCCATCAGCATGAATGTAAATTATCTTCTTCCAGTGGGTTCCTTATTTACCAGCAGGTGGAGGGATGTATGACCCCAGTGCCCACCCATGGTACAGTTAGCACCATGGGATAATAACATCGGACCCTGCACAGTACAGTACTTCAGTTATCACAACAAAGAAATAGCAAAAATGACTAAGAGGGCATGTGTGTGTGTGTAGGGGTGCAAACATGGTGATAAGAAATGGGCGATTAATTGTATGGATCTCCAAGAACTCACCATCATGACTAGTTGAGTCGACTATCCTAGGGGAAGAGAGGGGTCCTGGCCCTGCCTTATTGAAGGCCCTCACAGCTACCTCATAGAGGGCTGCTGGTGTCAGACCACGTACTTCATACTGTTCTACTCCTTCTGTGTCACCTGCAGTTAAGGTTGTTAACATTCAAAACCTAAATGATTGTATCAAACCAGCAAAGTTATGGTATTTTCCAAACAATTATCATACACCCTAAAGATAAGGAAAAATAAGACACATTTGGATAAGTTTCTCTTTAGTACTAGAGCATTGGTTGATAAGGAACAATTAAAGGAAGAATTTTTTAAATATTACCGACCTTACATAAAAGCACGAAGAAAAATTAAACATATAAAATGAAATTTCGTATGAAATTAATACTTGCTCCGCCTTTTCTGCTGAGAAAAACTAATTTGTGATATAAAATGCTCAGAAGATGCTAGATGCAAGGTGCCCCTGCAGGTTCTGAAGCTGTAGACAATGTTACAACACTAAAACTCACCTGGTAGAGCTGTGATGGGTCTGGTGATGTAGGTGAGGTGGCCCTGGAGGTTCTGGCGACGGAGGGCGATGGTGTAGCCTCTGAGAGGACCGTGAGTGAGGCGGGGGACAGGGGCGTGCCAGGTCACCAGCAGGGAGCGAGGACCTCCTGTAGCAACACGTACGTCCTGAGGTGCTCCTGACGGTGCTGAAAAGACAAAAACATTAATTACAATATCCTGGTAAATTATTGTGATCGAGTCCGACCAACAATGCATTATGATCAGAGTGAGAGAAGATGTGTGAAAGAGACAGAATATGAGATGGACAGGGTGGAAGAGAGGGTGTGAGAGACAGGGTGGATAAGAGAGATTTTGTGGAGAGATAGGTTGTAAGAGACAGGGTAGGAGAGACACAGAGTGGGAGAGAGACAGGGTGTGAGAAAGTGAGTGTGTGTGAGAGACAGTGGGACACTGACCTTCCTCAAGGGTGGTGAAGAAGTGGACGCTGGAGGGCTGGGACACCCCCAGGTCGTTGTGAGCCATGAGCCTGACGGCGTAGGCGTGGTAGGGCGTGAGGCCTGTTAGTACGTGCCATGATGCCCACTGACCCACACTCACATTACGCCCATGGGACGCCCATGACTCTTTCTCAGCTGCTGCCGTGGGTAAGGTGACCAGTAATGCCAGAAGAAAGGGAAAAAGAAAAAAATGAGACAAACTTCAATAAAAACGTTCTAAAAGCACGTACATGGCCTTGAGTACATAATACTAAAAGATCACTAAGATAACAATAAAGATATTCACTGATCTTTGGTTTACAGCAATATTACAAGCAATTACTGAATATTGTTTTGTCCGAGTGCAAACATTGTGTTATTATAATGTTGTATATCAGCGTCAGTGTGTGGATATAGTGAAGTGTGGTGTTGGTCACCTCGGTATTGTATGGTGATGGCTGCTGGCTGTGGTAGTGACCAGGAGAGACGGGCTGAGCGGCTCCCCACCTCTGACACCACCACTCCTGATGGCGCTGTCGGCGGCTCTGAAGGTATAGAGTAACTCATTAGTTTCTGTTTTGTGTACAGGCACATTACCCCATTATAACTCTAGTCAGCCCCATAATCAACATCCCTAATATGAGTTCCTATAACTGTATGTTCACCCTTAACCAGATATTCACTCCAAGGCTCAGATGCTCACCTGACTAAGGAGTACATATGGGTAGGGACCACAAACACTTGCAGACTGAAGTAGTGGATCATCAACACATTTTAAATTTCCATTGAAACCCAAATTAAATTAAGGCTGAAATTCATTATGTATAAAGTATATATAAATAATGCAAGGGTCAAGTGACACTATCATATATATCCCCTAAAGCACAACTTAGCTGTCTTGAAGTGGTGCAGCTCTGATAACACCCTGCGACTGGATTAAGACCCATCAATGGAAATCCAATATGACCAAACATGGACAAAAGAGAGCCTACATTTACAAGCTTCTGTAGCACCAAGACTCACTTTGCTCTCAGCCTTAAGTGATATTCCTCACCCCCCCCCCCAGACCCTTCCCTGAGAGCTAGGGGTTGTGACGGGAGACTTGTATTAATTGTTTAATTAGTGCCAGCAGTCACTGAGGGGTAGTCTGGGTTACAACCTGTTGACTTGATGAGAGAAAACTGGGTCTCCTTCGTCTATAAAATGGAGATTTATAGTTTATTCCTTCCTTTATTGAAAACTGGACAACTCCCCTCCTCCTGTGTCAGTTATTGCTTTATGAGACGATATCTGGACTCTGTTATGGTGTAAACAGGACAGGTGTAAGAGCTGGTGTAAGGGCCACTCACCTATAACAGCGATGTCAAACACCTGGGAGTGGTCACCGTGGGGGTTGGTGGCCCGGCAGGTGTAGGAGCCTGCATCCCCAGCAGTCACCGCCCGGATCTCCAACACAGCTCGTGCTGACCCGCTGCCTCCACTCTCTCGCACAGATGTCCTGATGGCGAGACGGAAATGACAGTATAAGAGCTGGAGTATTTTGTCACTGAAGCTGTGTCATAGTGTGGCTACTACTGCCACGACTGTATCAACTTTATGGTGACAGAGGAGTTGAATGTATGACGTTCCCTGTGATCACCAGCATCATCATCATCAATGCATCAGAGTAGCACAACAGAAGTAACAGTAACAACATAGATGGGGATAGATGGGACATTGGAGAGAAGGCAAAATAATCCTCTCTCCCTCACAAACACACATACACGGGGAGACACTAAGGGGTATCAATCACCCTGAGCAAAGTATTTCCCGAGTATCTTTTAAGTCTGATTCAGTAGCTACAGTTAAGGCTAAAATCAAGACCTGAATAAAGGTAATTATACTATGGACTAAAGGCATTTATTAGGAAATAATCAATATTAGATGTCACACTGGTGCCAGGTGAGGGCCATACCTGTGACCTGGGGAGATAGGGGCGTGGTGCCGCTGCCAGATTAGGGAGAGAGGGTCGTCACCTGTCGCCTCACACTCCACTGTCATGGTTTGCCCTGAATGCCCCGTCACCCGTCTGCCCTCTGTCACCACACGTGCCGGAGCTGTCATGGGGCAGAGGACAAGTGTTTACTAGGGACACTGTGAAAGTCAGTGTTGTCCTGGTGGCAATGGAAGGAAGCTTTACATGGGAATCTACAAGGCTGCCATAAAGAGAAAGAGGTAATTGTAACATGTTGAGACCAGATAAGACTCGCATGAGAGGATGTTTACTGAATCTAATCTCTTCTGATCTACTGTGACCTAACACAATTTGCCACAACCTCACCTAAAACTTTTTTGATCATGTACAAATTTGTATCTGCTGTACTAAAAAAAATGCTTAGTCTACAGTGTACTGTATCCACACAGCCCTAGCAGGCCATCAGGTCCATGAACTCACTTTTTGACCTTGAACTCCCAAGACCTACTCTGACCAACCATGAATTACAACAAATTCCCCTGACCTATTATGACCCTACAGACCTGTTCTTACCATGAACAGTCAGCTGGATGACCTTGGAGATGGGTTTCCCAACAGAGTTCCCAGCTCGACACATGAACCACCCGGCGCTTGTGGTGGAGACATCGGGCAGCACAAGTGAGCCATTGGTGGCCTGGGAGGCCCGTACACCATCCAGCACCACCGCTTGGAAGTCGTCTGCTGACTTCCCTGCAACACACAACACATACAGGCGACTGTGTTAGAGAGTAGAGTTAAGGAAAGGGGAGGTAGAGTGGGTAAGGCAGTGTGATAGAGCTGGTACAGTACTATGCAACATATAAAGAGTGTAATACTTATGTCAATAGCCAAATGGCAGCTGAAAAAATACTTAATACATATAAGAGAAAAAATTAATGAAACCATAAGTAGAAAAAACCCCCCCAGCCTTAGTCCCAAACACACCAGACTAAACACAACAGCCACCACAGTCTCCACCTTCCTAACAACTGTACTAGCAGAATGGTGATTACAAGCAGTAATCATATGCCAGGATGGGACAGCAATATTTATCAGTGATAAACTACAGCTAAATTGGTGATTTTTTCACCTGTATGAGTCCTATTTCAATCTTGCAGTGAAAGCTCTCTGGTTTTCTCATGTACACACATTAATCTTCAAAAGTATTCAATATAAGAGATGATGAGTAAAAAGCTTCTAGATATATAAAGATTCTGGCGTCATTCATTGTGGTGAGTGGAATTTAATTTGTGTTACCTGGAGCCTTCAGCCAGGTGATGGCGGGCTGAGGGTAGCCACGGGCACTACAGTCCAGCACCACCGTCGACCCCACCAGAGCTGTCGCACTCCCTGGCTCCACTACCCACCGCGGCGACACCTGTAAACCATGACTTTTAGTAAATATATCCTCATCATCTAATAAATCTCATTGGTCCTGAGCAATTCATCCTGCCCTCTCGTGTTTTGCTCTGATCAAGTCTACGAGTATACAGTATATAAATAAACTCTGAGCTCAGTGACCTACCCTCATGTGACTCACCTTGACTCTGACAGTGGCGGTGTGGTTGGCGGTGGCGGCGGCGTTGGCGGCCTCACAGGTGTAGGATCCAGAGTGGTGCTCCCTCAGCTTCTTGAACAACAGCACCTGGGGAAGCACATAACGGCATAAGTGACAGCACAGGCCAGGTACAACAACACTTATGAAATGGAATAATACAGTCAGAATCCTTCAAGTCAACAAAAGTTGATGAATGGTCCTTCCTTAAGTCACTCCTTACCTGCTAAATAGTGGTCGTCCTGAACCAGCCATTTGAGGTCTAGAATAACTATAGGACGTCCCGATGCTTTCAGATCATGAAAGAAATGAGACCTGGTCGGACGACGACCATAATGTTGCATTACGTTCTTACATAACATTTTATATATAGCCTTTAGGATGTCAGAATCTTGTTGGTCAATGACTGATGAAGAATCTTCTTCATGTACCAGAGGCAGAAACTGATGTAAATTTCTTTCTAGAATTGACACCAAAAAGCTGTGTGTGGGGAAAATTTTTTCCCTCCTGCCCCGGGAGAAACACAGGCGGGAACGTGAGTCCCACTGTTCACTGATCCATCATTAAACAGTCTAACAAAGAAAAAGCAAAACAGCAACAATGATTCCAGGGAGACTTCAACAGGAATGGCAGGAAGAATCCATTCACACTCTAAACAACCAAACTACATTATACTAAAGCCACTTACTATCACTGCATCACCACACAACCACAGAACATTTACCGGGCCCCCACAAACCAGCCCCCCGCCCCACTATCACTCCTTAAGGTCTCACCGTAGAGTACACGTGGATCTGCTTGCTATCAATGTCAGGGTCGTGCTGGAGGTGTCTGCCGTCCTTGAGCCAGTTGATGGTGATGGGTAGGTCGCCACTGTTGACCATACATGTCAGTTGAGTCCGCTCGCCCTCATGAAGGTTAAGCCGAAATGAGAATGGCTCGATGGCTGGCGGCTCTGTGCACAAGAAAAATCATTACATGAACGGATAAACTTTTAAAAAATTACTAAATACTGATGGCCCTCTTTACAAGACAATTATGACATCAACAAATTAACTTCAAGAAACCTCATTCTTTGTTACACATTTGATAGAATTCATAAACCTTAATAATTATGTAAATAAATCGGAATGAATATGAATGTTATGGAAGCAAAAGTCTGAATATTAATTAGTGAATTTGTTCTGCATCATATTTAGTTGTGATGACTGAGGACGCTCTACTGACCCAATGAAGACATCTTACTGGATAACAAAGAAGCTTTATAGACTCCATAAAGACAGATACTATTTAATATTGAACACGTATTACTAAATCAATAAAATCATCTTACTAAATAAGGAGGATGTCTTAGTAACTTAATAAACCTTTCCTAAACAATGATAATGCCTTAGTGAATTAATAAACAAATCTTACTAAATATTAAAGACGTCTTATTGCCTTCATGAAAACATCTTACCAATGACGTCATATTGACATTTGGACTAAGGATGATGTATTTCTGACTTACTGAGGACGTGGAGGAAGGTGTGGGAGGCGGCAGTCTGGCCCTGTCTGCCGGAGACAACACAGGTGTAGCTGCCCACATCCTCATTGGTCGCCATCCTCACTAACAGCGTCCCGTTCCTCAACACCTCCTGCCTGTAACACAAGTGGCAGATCAACACTCCTGCCTGTAACATAATAACACAAGTAACACGTCAACTGAGCAAGACCTTACACTAATGGATTAAAGTGTTTGACCTCACACCGCCCTGGACCACACCATCACGAGCTCCCTCATAACTGGATGTCATATGACTCGTAGTGTGTGAAACAAAATGATAAAAAGCTAGACCTAAACATGGTTATATATCATGACTAATAAAGCAAGTTATGACTATAAGGAAAGTGGTGTAGGTGATGTTTGGTGGCTTACACTGTACTTGCTGGGGTTCCCATATGTACACACAAAAGAGGAAAATCATAAACTACATGTCCTTGTGGCTGGCAACCGGGTGATGGGAACAGAATCTTAGATTGGCTCTTTGGGCCGGGGGTAGGCATGGCGTCGTGTTTATGGATTGAGACTACAAAATATGCTTTGGTCAAATATGGGAACCAACCATATATTCCCATACCAGTATAATGAATAAAAATTAAAGATAAGAACAAAAGTAAAAACTCTTCTTAGGGATAATTCCGTGCGTGAATTAACAATGATAACAGAGAAGAACAAGTGAATTAATTCGACAAAAATAAAGTCTAGTACAGGATCTACACCTGCCGTCATCAAGTAAAATTCACTCACCTGTGGGAGGTGGGGAGGGTGTGGCCGTCTCTCCTCCAGGTGACGGTGGGCGTCGGATAGCCTCCTGCAGGACACCAGAGGTTTATGTCCTCCCCAGACACCCCCGTCACGTTGGCCATCGCTCGTATGAAGGGCGGACCTGAGGGAGCGATAGCGAGGTGATATAGTGCTGTGAATATGTGGGGGGAGGAGAGAGTAGACCCGTGGGGTGATGGTGAGGTGATGTAGTGATGTGTGTGTGTGAGGGGGGGGTGATGGTGAGGTGATGTAGTGATGTGTGTGTGTGAGGGGGTGATGGTGAGGTGATGTAGTGATGTGTGTGAGGAGGTGATGGTGAGTGATGATGTGTGTGTGTGTCGTGAGGGTGATGATGAGGTGATGTGTGTGTGTGTGTGTGTGTGGGGGGTGGTGGTGAGTGCTGTAGTGATGTGTGTGTGGGGGTGGGGATGTGGGGTGATGTGTGTAGTGATGGCTGTGTGAGGAAGGTGGCAGACAGTGATGTGTGTGTGGGGGATGGTGGGGGTGATGGGTGATGTGGTGATGATGTGTGTGTGTGAGGGGGGGGAGGATGATGGTAAGGTGTTGAATTAATTTGGACTAAAATGGGGTGAGGAAGAACAGTGTGCGACTCTACAAGGAACATGTGTACTACTCTGTGTCATACTTTTATACTCATTTATCTTAAGAGTGTCATCAGGCCTTCAGTTCACACCTATGGCAATACCTCATGTTATAATACAATGGTGGTGAGTATATGAGTGGTGATATTGGTGAGTGGTATGAGCCAAGGGAGTGGGGATATAGTTGTACCACCACCACAACAACTATCACCACCACCACCAGTACCACCACCACCAGTACCACCACCACCAACACCACAACAGCTATCACCACCACCAACACCACAACCACCAGTACCACCATTATCACACCACCACTAGCATCATTATTACCACCACCAACATCATCACAGACCAACACCATCCTCACCACTATCACCACCAACATCACCACCACCGCCACCACCACCATCGCTCAATCCACACCCCCTCATCTATTATTTCCAGGTTGTAATTAACGATTTATCGCTACATCTCCGACACATCTACTAACTGTTAATTATTTCCGCCTCTCTACCGTGTTCTGTGCTGAGGTAATGACTGATTCACGCTCACGGCTCCAAATATTCCCACACTATCCAATTAATTCTCAAAGATAATTAATTTTTTTTTATCAGCAAAAATATAATATCAACCCTGACTAATGGTAATATTCTCAAAGACTCTAGATAATATTGAAGACATTACTCAGTATTAAACACTTCTAATGAGTTAACTTGTACTGTGATTTTTCTGATTGAGTGACCAGAAAAGTGTGTTAGGTGATAATGATGTGCTCTTAACTGGTATTAAATCAACAAGATAAAAATGATCAAAGTTCTTACAATAATAATTTACTTCATCCATGAGGCTCAGTTAAGTTACATTATAAAACAGGAAGCTGATGGCGTCAAACTATCACCGAGACTATATATTGTCTTGTCCCCAGGTGAATAAAAAAAAAATACACGGAGGAAAACATTAGCGTCGAGAGAGAGAGAGAGAGAGAGAGAGAGAGAGAGAGAGATAGAGATTTAACAAACAACTAAAGCCTTACCATCACTAGGAAACACCCATGATGATGATGATAATAATGATGGAGATGATGAAGATGATGATGATGATGATGATAGTAGCCGGGCTATTATTAAATCATAAAAATAATGTTTCATTCACTGGGACTAAAAAAAAAAAAAAAATCGAGGCACAATGGCGACCAGTGTGTAGTGTGTGAATGTGATCATTTATAAGGCTCAAAATATGTGGTCGTTGTTATCTTGTCACCACACAATTAGCACACAAAAGCAAGCTGATGGTTCGAGTTTTTTTCCCCAATTAATGTAACAATATACTTCACTATGGGACGCGCTAAAAATACTGTATATATTTCGTTGGGGTCTACGTTGTGTTGAGCAAATACACACTAGGAGGGACAATAGGCACTGGGGGCGGGGCTAACACTATACAGGGTGAGCAGAAAACACTTCATTGATAAGACGAGAGAGAGAGAGAGAGAGAGAGAGAGAGAGAGGCCACCAGACACCACAACTGGGAATAATTAATAAAACTCTATTTACGACAAGTTTTAAAAGATTGGAATGATTTTTAACCTTCATTTTAGCTTGACAGTAATGCCTGATTAATGTACTGGTAAAGAGAACATTTTTGCCGCGTACAGTAGCTTAATGAGCGATGTTCTGGACTGCCAACCCGACAGGTATGAGTTGGTGGTTTCTTATCTGTGGTTTGGTCAGCTGCTTGCCTCTATCCCCCCTCCCCACCCCCATAACTCATGCCTTACCTCTGATAGTTATTTCTACTCGGCTGGTGAGAAAAGTATTAATATTGATTAGTTTAACGAGAGTCATGCCAGGAGTTCACGTGTTATTTAGTTAAAGTATGACAACGTGTGAGGTGGGTTACCGTAGACGTTGAGCCTGGCGGAGTGGGAGACGGAGCCGTGGGTGTTGGAGGCGGTGCAGGTGTAGAGGCCGCCCTCCCGCCCCGTCACCGAGCTCAGGTTCACTTGGCTCACCACCTCCCCCAGCGCCGCCCTGAAGCTCCCCACATTCGTCCTGTTGGGGAGGAGACAGCTGAGAGACTGTTGAGAGACGGGGAGACGTTAGGAGGTCCTCGTGGTGATCTGAAGAAGGATAGGAGGGGCTGGTGACCTACCTGAGGGAGGGCAGGAGAGGCTGGTGATCGCGGGTCCAGGTGATAACAGGTGCAGGGGTGCCCACGGCCGAGCACTTGAGGGATACAGGTGACCCCGGGGACACCGTCTGCTCAATGGGCGTGTACCGCAGCTGAGGCACCGAGTCTGTGGGCGGGGGAGAGAGTGGGTGGTGTGGTTAGGTTAGGTTAGGGTTGTTCATCATAAAGTGAATCAAACTGGGGGGCTAAATTTCGCGTGATCTCTGTGTACTCCTAGACGGTCGGAAGTTACGTCATAACCCATATTGTTTTGTTTATATAATGTATGACTGGCACTACGTCACGTGATGGTCTCCAAGAATTCTCCATTATGACAATTTTGAAGTTAACAGTGGATTAGAATTCTTTTTAACCATTTTGTAATTATTCGAGGTTTAGGTATTTGTATTAAGTGAAACAGAAACTGAAGATTAATGAATGATAGAATATGAGAAATGAAATCAAGGCTGCAGAATAACATAGTCTTGAACGGTGTTACTCGTGTGTGTGTGTTGTGTTGAGTTAGGAGATGCAATATGTCTGTGTGCTCTTATGTACGGTATATGTTAATGTGTATTAATTCTTACAACGACAGAAATGGCAAAGATTTTACTGTTGTGTTATTGTGATATGCAAACTATAAGTTCTCTTGTTGACTTTGTTCTTATGTTATAGTTGAAGTTATAAAGAACTCTCCCTCCTCCCCACCTACAAGCTCAAAATAAAATACTTTTTACGCCAAGTCAAGTCTCCATGTGGTTCTTCCCCTCCTGAGAATAATGTAATAAATATCAGTCTTTTTCTGTGCTGTTTCAAGGAGCGTCTCTCTCTCTTGTAGCACGCACGCACCCACCCACGCATCCACCCACACACACACACACACGCGCACACACACACACACACACACCCACACCCATGTACCCACGCACTCTCTCTCTCTCTCTCTCTCTCTCTCTCTCTTATGCTATATATATCTCACTCTCACGCTAATTCTCCACCTGGTCTCTGTCTTTGGAAACTCAGAAAACGGGAATCACACACACAGTAACTATACCCCAGCTCTCAGTCAATCATCTAGGGGTGACACTCACTAGTGCCATGTAGCATAACCTTACTTAACATAAACAATACCACATCAATTATTAGTTACCACATATATACAGAAGCCTTACCTGGTCGAGAATAAGGGTTAAGGCCTAAGTCTCTGGACGCACGCCGCCGACCACCTAAGACGTTCACTCCCTCCGCCTGCGTCTCCTGCAAGTAAAAATTACCTTAAAACCGTGTTAGAAAAAACAACCCTACCATCCAGAGTTACAGTTGAGGCTCCTTGTACCTAATGTGATAGTTTCTGTATCATGTGGAGTGACGTGTGATGCTTAGTTCTAAGATTGGAATACTGAAGATGGTGGTAAGGTCATTTATATTTAACGTTACCTTCTGTGAGTTGTATCCTTAAAAATGATCATCTTGGTTCTTATCTGTAGAGGAAGAAAGAAAGAAAGAAAGAGGCAGTACCTGGGGATAATATTCTAGGTGGTGGCTCAACAGGTGGTGTTGACCTAGCTCTTGGTGCCCTTGGTTGGCTGGTCCATCATCATCATCATCATCATCATCATCATAATTATCAACATCATCATCATCATCATCAGCAGCAGCAGCCTCAAGAACCTCGCCGTCTCCTTCTGCGCCAACTTCTGTCTCCGCTTCTACACCCAGGGCGCCAATATCTTCGGGGCGAGCACTGTCTGTTTCCTCAGCAGTGCCCCCTTCAGTAGCTGTGACCTGAGAGATGATGTCACGCCCTCCAACACCATCGTCAGGAGCGAGAACGTCTACAGTAGGGGCATCATGTACACCAGATGTGGAGGTATGTTCCCCAGAAGTAACCTTGGTAACGCCACTCTCTCTAGCTCTTGCATCGTCGTCAGGAGAGATACCTACTGCAGTCCTGTCAGCTTCGTTGGGAGCAGTAGCGAGTGATCCTCCATCAGTCCTGGGGTCGTAGTGCTGCCATCTGTCGAAGGAATAATCAGAGTCATTAATAAGGAAGAAAATCTTATTATAAAACGATCTTTCTGAATCTATATGACGTTAGACAAGTAAGAGAACAGGTACGTTTATAATTACCGTAAATACGCAATAACAAGTAAACAAAATATACTAAAAAGTTAAATATGAATAGATAAACACAACATTAAATAACTTGAGACTTACACAATATTGTTTATGAAAGACAACGTAAGAATCATTCAGCTCTGTGACATTTCGACTCCTCAAAATTCTGGGCGTTTATACTCCAAGATTCGTAAGTTAAAATTTTCCACCCTCCAGCTCTTCATCTGTAAACTTACCTCACTCACTTAACAACACAGGGACAAAAAGGGACTAATTAACGTCGAAAGTCCATTAAAACTCTACTGTAACTTGAAGTAATCTCTTATTACTACTTAGTATAAACCCTTAATCTAGTGAACATCGTCGCTATAGTAAAAGAGAGACTTATATCCTCTATTACTCTCTTATACCCATTACCAAAACACTATTTCAAAGTCTAGAATTACCATTAGCATCAAATTGCTTTAATTAGGAAGAGAAGGCATTTGGTTACTGTAGTGTTGGAATAATTTCTTCGCCATGATTGTGTGAGTGAAAGATAAGTTCTCACAGCACCAGTTAAGAAGAGGTGTTAACTTAGCCTACTGACGTGTGGGAATTCGGACACTGGTTTTGATTTCGTAGCTATGAGTGTTTGTGGCAGCCATGATCAACAGAAGACCAACCACAGTCAGGTAACAGAGCAGCATTAATTGTCGAGTAACAGAGCAGTTAAAATGCATCAACAGTCGTCGAAAAACAGAATCCCAACAGTAGTCGAGCAACAAAGTAGGCATAGAGCATCAACAGAAGACTAACAGTCGTCGTGGAGCAGAAGATCAACAGTCGCCGAGCAACAGAACATCAACAGAGAACCAACAGAGGCTCGTCACAGGAGGAAGCGAGCCCTCAGGGGTTTTATTGAATTACCATCAACACAAGAGTTTGCCAGCCAGCAATTCTCCTCCCTCATTCTCGGTAATTGGATTTTGTCAAGAGTTTGAGCCAAGACAAAGCCGCGGGGAGTTGATATGCCCGTCCTGGCCCTCACCTGTCACCTCCCCTTACCTGTCACCTTCCCTCACCTGTCACGTCACCTCACCTGTCATTTCCCCTCACCTGTCATCTCCCATCACCTGTCATCTCCCCTCACCTGTCACCTTCCTCACCTGTCACGTCACCTCACCTGTCATCTCCTCACTCACTCTCATCATTCTGTCCTCTATTGTCAGGGTACAGTAACTATGATTCATATATACATTCTTGATGGACAGTTACTGGTCAGGCACGGCATTATTCTGAGGTATAGACTCACTTATTTAGTCAGTCAGTCAGTCAGTCAGTCAGTCAGTCACCCCAACCAGACAGATATTACCCTTTTACCACTGAAAGGAAATTATGTTACATTTCAAAGGCATAAAAAAAAGGCCCCTAAGTAATGCATTTTCGATTATCATATTAACGAGAGAGAGAGAGAGAGAGAGAGAGAGAGAGAGAGAGAGAGTTCTGGATAACAAGGAGTTCTAGACAGGGAAGGATTCTGTGGTATTGTGTGAAGGAAAGAGGAGATACGTTGAAGGAGGGGGAAACACCATACTCAACTAAGGGAGGAAAGAATAACAACGTTTGATGGAGGAGGTGATAGTGGGAGTGTGTGGTGTAGGAGAGGAAACACAAGAGAACGAAGGGAATTCCATCCTCAACAAGCCTATGTTTTCTCTGCTACCACACTCCCCTTTGAGACACACGGTAGAGGCTGTGTCCAATAGTAGAGTTAAAGTAGAGTTAAAGAATAGTTAAAGTAGAGTTAGAGGAGAGTTAAAGTAGAGTTAGAGTTAAAATAGAGTCTAAGTAAAGGTAGAGTTATAAAGTTAATTATTTATTAGCCTTCTAAAATGACGTAACAAAATAAATCAGGAATCAGTGTTTGGAGAAGTGAGAGAGAGAGAGAGAGAGAGAGAGAGAAGCGAGAGAAAGATAGAGAAAATGAAAGAGACAGCTTAACTTCCCTACTAAGAGTTGTGTTTACAGATACCAAAGTCAACACGGAGGTATACGTACACCTGTAAAAATAGTGTTTGTACAAGTTGTATATAAACCCCGGCTTAATCCTCTTAACATTACCCAATATGACACCAAGTTACACTATCAACATCGACCATCCATCTAGAATATTACTGGACAGTTTTAGAAGCCTTGATAATAAGGTGATGAAGGCAGATAAGACGGGAAGCGACATGACTTGAGCGAACGAACGGATAGATAAGTTTGCCCTTCCATCCATTTTATTTTTATTTATTTTTTTAACGAAACGACTGACTAAATTAGCCTCCAAAAATAAAAGAAAATAAATATTATACATGCATAGAGGTAATATTTATACTAGGAAAATTAACCTCCTCATTTATTTACACGGTGGAAATAATATCTTACTAATAAACACACTTGTGAACCTTGCCGCTACATCATCATCGTCATGTTTGAGTTGCATCAGTCAGCTCTATGAATATCCTTCCTGACATACTGACGGAGGTAACTTTTGGACTGAGGAGCACAGATGTAGCTTATGAGCAATACTTAATAAAGGTAATAATTAGTTTTTACCGCATTAAGAGCAACGTTATCATATTTCCTTGAGTTCACCTGAAGATCCTCTACCCAAGCTTATTTCACCGACAGATTAATTACCCTAACACTACTTGGGGAGGTTAGGTTAGGTTAATCTTTAGGTGAAATAAGCTGTAGTGATCCACCACTACAGTGAGATGATCCAACACTACAGTGAGGTGATCCACCACTACAGTGAGGTGATCCACCATTACAGTGAGGTGATCCAACACTACAGTGAGGTGATCCACCACTACAGTGAGGTGATCCACCACTACAGTGAGGTGATCCACCACTACAGTGAGGTGATCCACCACTACAGTGAGGTGATCCACCACTACAGTGAGGTGATCCACCACTACAGTGAGGTGATCCACCACTACAGTGAGGTGATCCACCACTACAGTGAGGTGATCCACCACTGGTGATCCACCACTACTACAGTGAGGTGATCCACCACTACAGTGAGGTGATCCACCACTACCACCACTACAGTGAGATGATCCAACACTACAGTGAGGTGATCCACCACTACAGTGAGGTGATCCACCATTACAGTGAGGTGATCCAACACTACAGTGAGGTGATCCACCACTACAGTGAGGTGATCCACCACTACAGTGAGGTGATCCACCACTACAGTGAGGTGATCCACCACTACAGTGAGGTGATCCACCACTACAGTGAGGTGATCCACCACTACAGTGAGGTGATCCACCACTACAGTGAGGTGATCCACCACTACAGTGAGGTGATCCACCACCACTGGAGGTCGTCCTACAACTCGCCAACTCTACACATATTTTCGTCTCCTGGACTGTGGTTTCTCAAGAGAAAATATCTTTACTGCTTTTCATTCAAGTTTGTAAGCAAACGACCGAGATCCACTTTAACTTTGCACATATGTATTCATCACTGAAACTGAAGATTCACAGTCGCCTTATTGAAAACTTTTTAAAACTTGTTTATATCTCAAGAAAAGTTTTATTAAGGCTGGCTGTGTTGACTCTGCCAGGGCTGTGCAGTTGCCAGTTCCTTGTAATTAGAGTTTCCGGGTCAGGAACCTTAGAGAAATTTTAAATTAATTTTCCCCCATAACAATAGTGAACAGTTATCTTTAGGTTTTACACAATTTCCACAATACTCAGACCCACCGCCACCTTTGTGTTGTACGAACTCTTCAAAATGTCAGCCTTGAGATTTTTATAGGAGCATGCGAGCATGACGTGGACGGGAGGCGATCGTCCTTTGTTTTCTGAAATATTCTTTTTACAAACAAGACGTTGCCTCGAGCACCACCAATCTAATTCCACAAGACGAATATTCCCCCTAAAAAGGAAACAAGTTTATAGGTCGTTTTTATGATTGGTCCATCTTGTATTGTTTTCAGAGGGTGGGAGGGAGGCGGTCTATTTGGTCCACCACAATGGTTCTTCGTTTTATATAAATAACTAAAACGGCGGCCACGACTCAAGCCATCACACCTCAAAACACGAATATTGGCCAAGAGGAAATAACGTTCATGATGGTTCTTTACGATAGGTTGTTTGTTATAGTGTGTTATTAGTGACAAAATGATGGTGGTGGTGGTGGTCAGTGGTAGTGGTGGTGGTGGTGGTGGTGGTGGTGGTGGTCAGTGGTAGTGGTGGTGGTGGTAGATAATAGTAATAGTGGTGGTGGACAGTGGTAGTGGTGGTAGTAGTGATGGTGGATAGTGGTAGTGGTAGAGGGGCTGGTTTCTGTTTTTTGTGTGTGTAGAGAGAGAGAGAGAGAGAGATACACACGGGGGTAAAGAAGGGCTGAAAATAGAAAAGGGCAGTAATAGCAGAAGTAATAGCAGTAATAGTAGTAGTAGTAAAAACAAATAGCGTAAAAGAGAACAAAAAAAAGAGGAAGGGTCGGATGAGGACGAAAGAGATGAAAATTGAAAAAAAAAGAAGAAAGAAGAAAAAAGAAAATGTGGAGGGGAAGGGAACGATAAAGTCAGAGGAGGAAATGAAAGAAACAAAGAGGGAATGGGAGTAGCAGAGAGAGAGAGAGAGAGAGAGAGAGGCTCCACACCTGCACCTAGAATTTCTCTCTACCATTTCAATAACATGCTTATGGATGTTACGCCAGACGCACGTTCACCAGCCTCTTGCCTGCCGTGGCCCCCGCTTTGGATCTTAAAGTACACAACTCCTTCATAACCTAACCTAACCTAACCTAACCTAACCTAACCTAACCTCCTATTCACAAAAAGTAAGAATTCATTACACTTGTACATTTTCTGCCGTGAATTCCTCAGTAAGCCACAGTTAAAGACACTCAAAA